CATTCCTGCAATGAAAGTCATAGTTCTCATTACAGTGCACTGACTTTCAGTACTACACAGCATGTTGTCATCCTGTGGTTCTTGGTGTCACAGTCACGTGCTAATTCAACAGGGTGCGTGCGGCTGGCCACACCCTGACACGCTCAGCCTCGTGTCCTAGCACACACGGCTCATTAGACTCAACTGTTACCTACGTACAGTTGGTGCTGGTTCTCTTCTCGTTCCCAGCAGCCAGCAGGACGGGCACTGTGGGTTCAGGGGGTGAACAGGGATCGGGCCAGTTGACCAGAGGGAGAGCGTGCGTGTGCTCTGTTTGTTCAGCTGCTCGTTCTCTCTCTGTTACTGGAGGATTTTGTTGGACATATCTAGCGTTGTTGTCTCAGTGAAACATAACCTTGTCTCCGCTCCACTGTGTGTGTGTGTGTGTGTGTGTGAGCGAGTGAGTGAGTGCCACTGTCTCACACAGAGCTTGCAGTCTGCTTTTTTGTTGTCATCACTTAAAATGTCTTCAAACCGCTGAAATGACTCCACTGTCGAGTGACCTGCTCAGCCAATGCAAGCTTAGTGTAATGGTGATATACGTACTTGCACTTTGATGAGTGTGAGTACTGCAGGAGCAGTATTGGACCCACACGTTTCTGATTTCAGTATCGGTGCGTCCCTAGTTCTGTGCCATGATTGGTTGGCATCTCAGTGATGTTTTGTGTTTCAGAAACTCAAAGCCATTGAGGAGCTGAAGGAGCAGCAGGCATCTGGGAAGGTCCTGCAGAAGAACCAGGTGACGTCACATTTTCACTTCAAACTGTAATGTGTAAACAATTTGACTGCAGCGCTCCCCCCTAGCTGTACTACACCACACCACCTTAGCTCGAGTGCTAATGTTGCTACCTGGAGATTCTCAACAGTTTGTGTTGGTAGCAGTCCTGGTCCCACATGAGGCTGATTGGTTACTGTGCACTTCAGAAATTAGTTACTCAGGCAGGGCCTTTCGTTGTAACAGAGTACTTCTACTCTGTGATACTACTGCTACTCTGAAGATAACCTGCACTCTCACCACTGGACTATCTTCAGTGGGTTTTTCTCTGTAGAGCGAAGAAATATGAGCTTTAATGTGCTGTGTCGCAGTCTTTTCAACTCAGGTCATATAAGGACACGGGGCAGCTTTAACAAACACCATTAAAATAATTATCAGAGATCATTCATTTCACTCTGGCCCTTCCCATGCTGCGCATTCCTGTATTATCAATAATTGATCGGGTCTGTTGGCTGCTGGACTGACCTGGACTCTGTTTTCTTCAGCTGGAAAAGGTCCAGAAGGAGGACCAGCTGCTGAAGGAGCTGGAGGACCTGCAGATCCAACAGTAGGACATGCTACTGGAGTTACAGACCACACCTCCAAATCCCATAATTCATCACTCTGTCACACACACACACACACACACAGAGGAGCAGTCAGTGTGTATGTGAAGGCCGCGTCCGTTCCTGAACTCTACTGCTGAAAGAGTTTAGGTTTCCTCAGTTTTCTTCACCTGACACACCTGAGGACGGGCGCAGGAGGCTGGGTTTATCAAACAGGTGTGGTCATGATGGACGCAACCATAGTCATGAACTGACTAAACAAATTTCTGTTTCCATTAGAATTCTGTTTTCTTTCACCTACTTGTTTCTGACGGCAGTACTTCATTCCTCTGTCTTTGGAGGATGCCCAAAGGACTTCTGGGAAGTGTAGGAAGAAGCTGTGCTGTGTGTGTTCACTAAAGAAATTAAGTGACAGCAGTTGGTCACCACATAACGGCAGAGTGCAAAACAAAATCCGACTGGAGCCAAGTTTCTCTTTAAAGGAACAGTCCATTGTGTTCATCCCATCATTTAGCCAAATGTTGAACTGTCCCTTTAACACAATGGACAACAGCTGGTGTGTGAGAGGCATTAAGTATAGCGTTGCAACATTTGTACAGATGCTGATGCCTTTGTTCCTTTCAGAATAAATGGCTCCTCTTCAGCCCAGCTGGTGGGCAGATAAACAGCCCCACTTTCAGTTACATCAGTTCAGAAGTCTAATAAAGGCTTTGTAATCAAGTCCCACTGTGTCCAAGAGTTATTGATACATTTACAGTTTTCAGGTTCAAGTCCATGCTGACAGTCTCCCATGTCCCAGTAGAGAGCTGTGTCCACAGTGAAGCACCTGAACATCACAAAAACAGGTCAGTGTCTTGGTCTGTTGTCAGCACAACTGAGCATCACAGAAACCCAGTGTGAGCGAGGAAAACTCCAATGTCTATGGCACTGGTCAGTCCTTATAACACTATGGTCACCTCGGTGTGTCGGCCAGAACACCACTTAAGGCCCATACATTCCCAGAATGAACACCCAGGCTGAGGAGTGAGTGAATATCGCTTCATCATCAGCTCTGCAGTAGATACACACAGCTCCGAGTCAGGTGAGCAGTTTGTCACCAGAGGTGGAAAGTAACTAAGTATGTTTACTCAAGTACTGTACGTAAGAACAATTTTAAGGTATCTGTACTTTGAGTATTTTTAATTTGTGCTACTTTGTACTTTGACTTCACTACACTTCAGAGGTATATTTACTCCACTGCATTTAGTTTTATTACTTTAATTTCTTTTCAGAACCAGATTAATACAATAATTAAGACTTTATTGATCTCTGGTGGAAAATTTACAAGCTACCCAGTACTATGTGCAGTACTTCAAATAATTAGCATATAAGCTAGTTCAAAGTAGCTCCCCCTTCACCAGCTGCAACATTAAATGTGATTAACACAATGCACCGGTCATTATAATCCAATGATATGATGGCTCTCACCGTTCTAGACTGGGTGAGGCAAGCTTGGGTGTGGACGGAGGCTAAGACAGATTACCTTAAAAGCTGAGCTGGAGTCAGTTATGGATGTTCAACAGGAAGAAACAGATTGTTGTATAATAGACAGCACCAAGATAATATAAACAAAGTGTTAGTGAGAAGGAAAGAAATGATGTAAAATGACACCACTGTAATACTCAAGGTTCACTTCTTTTCAGCCACATCTCATGGCTTTCATCAGTAGATGGCCACTACAATGACAGAGCAAATTCTCTTAGCTGATGAAGGTCGTGAGTTAGGGGTAAAAGCTCAAAAATGTAGTCTTTATACATACTGTATATTCTCAGCTCTTGTCCATGAACGTCTTCTTCGAGTAGCCCATTTCTCATCAGGTTGCCCTGGTTCCTCAACACCTGATGCAGACCTTGTTGACCCAAGCGACATCCAAGCCAGTGTGACACTTATTTCTCTGACTCTCATTACCAATGAGGTTGGTGGGTAGCATTACGGGCCTTGCTTAGGGGCCCAAGCTGGATATTGACTGTGCTCTGAAACCCTGACCTTCCATAACAGTCTGCTGCAATGACCAAGCTAAGATCCTGTGGGACTTCCAGATACAAACTGACAAACTGGTAATGGCCAACCAACCGGACACAGTAGTGGTGGACAAACAGAGGAAGAAGGCTGTAGTGATAGATGTAGTAATCCCAAGCGATAGCAACATCAGGAAGAAGGAACACGAGAAGCTTGAGAAATACCAAGGGCTGAAAGAAGAGCTAGAAAAGATATGGAAGGTGAAGGCACAAGTGGTCCCCGTGGTAATAGGAACACTGGGGGCTGTGACTCCCAAACTGGGAGAGTGGCTCCAACAGATCCCAGGAACAACATCTGAGATCTCTGTCCAGAAGAGTGCAGTCCTAGGAACAGCTAAGATACTGCATAGGACCCTCAAGCTCCCAGGCCTCTGGTAGAGGACCCGAGCTTGAAGGAGGGAATACAAGACCGCCCCAAAGTGGGGGTGGGGGGGATTTTTTTAAAATATAAAAATAATGAATCTTATTTTCAAAGGTAAGAATGGAGTCTGTTCCTGCTGCAAGAAAATCGTGCTTTCATGAACAACCATCAGTGAAATGTGACAGTACTAAAAACTTTTACTCTTCATAATTTGAAGTGGTGGTGAAATTTTCTTAGGTATGTTTGTTTCAACATTTATATTTTTAAATGCAAAAGGACAGAATATCAAATAAACTTTTATTTTTTAAGATTATTATTTGACTCGGGTGGTTTGAGCCAAACTAGAGCGATATTTAAAAGCAAGATTAAAAACAAATGAATAAAGTTACAGTAACTACAACAGGAAGTGTCATCTTTTACCGACGTGCCATTGGTTATTTCTGCTGTCAATCAGGTGTCTGCGCCCCTATTGGCTCTTTAAACGGCCTATTGACCTCAGTGTATGCGCTTGTTTTGGCGTTTAGGGCGGTTCAACTGGGTGGGGTGCGTGTTCTGTGCTGTTGAGGTGCTTAAGTCCCACCGTCGCAGCCGCAGTGTGACGGTGTAAATACCGATATTCCGCTGAACGCAGACTTAGCTGAGCAGTTAGCTGCTGTCCGCGTGTCCCCTTTAACTTCCGTCTGCTCGTCGGTGTCTTGTTTGCTTAGCTTTGTGGTGTTTACACTTTTTGTGCTGCATTCACTGACTGGTTGCACTTGAAAACAGTCAGGTTAAAACTATTGCCGGAGCAGTTTACGGCATGTCGTGGACCGCAGCGTCAGGAGAAAGCACGTGTAGTCACAGTGTAAACTGATGTTTAACATTAACCTTACTCAATTAATTCCCTAGTTTACTCACCAGAGAAATCTTTATTTTACTTATCTGTGCAAGGGGAAATGGCGGTTTCACTGCTTTCTCCATCAGACTAGGTGTGATTAGGACCCACATTTACAGTTATCAGACTTGGACGTCATCAACAAATACGCGGTATTTAAACGGCTTCAGATTTGTTTCTTCACTGCTTTCCCCCTGGAGACCAGTTCTGTCTACTGACATGACTGGTTCCGTTGTAGGTTTTCCACAGGTCCTAGTTATGGATGAGTCTCCCTGCAGAGATGAGGAGGACAGCTCTTCATCTCCTGTTGTAGGTGTGGGTCTGTGTGACTCGGTCCCCCTGCTGTGGAGGGTGGAGGACCTGAAAACGGTCAGGTCTTGGGGTCTTGTGGGGGCTCTGTTAGGTTCACTGCCCCGGACCCCCCGACAGAACGGACGCCTGGGACGCCCCCTGCTGCTGCTGCCGGAGGAGGAGAGACTGCTGAGCGAGCGCCATGCTGCTGCCTCTTTACCTGCCGCTGACCAGGTGGGTTAACCAGATCAGGTGTCCATGGTAGTTAACCAGCTGGACTTTCAGCTTTATGGAGGAAGGTGTTTGATTTGTTGACAGTAGAATGGGAGAGGGTGTGTTAGAGTTGTTGTTGTGTTGGCAGGATGGAGGAGGGCCGGAGCTCCATCAGCAGGTGGAGCAGTATGAGGAGCAGCAGCAGAGGACTTATGAGGAGCAGACCATCCTTGCTTTGGAGGACAGGAAGTCAGCACTGATCCGAGCCATGACCCCATCACACACAGGTGAGTGCGTTACCATGACAACATTGCACCTGTACCTGCAGTTTGACGTAACAGTCCTGGTTCCGGTCCCCTCAGGTTCACAGTCTGGACCTGGAACTGCAGGCGAGGCATTGCAGGTCCACCTGGAGACTCTGGACCAGAGCTTTACCTTCCCTCGGTCGGCACTGGCAGTCCAGCTGAGCACTGCAAGGGTGGGGCTATCCTACTGCCCTGAAACTCGGGCCTTCCTGCGAGCTGACTGGCCAATCAGAGTGCAGGATCACTGTAGCGGTGGTGTCAGGTACCAGGTGTTCAGAGACCTGAGGGGGCGGGGCTTCTACCTGACCTCAGCGGGGAAGTTCGGGGGAGACTTCCTTGTATATCCCGGTTAGTTCCCTAATCTGCATTGTGGTGTTTTTTGGAAACGAACAAATTATATGGTGAAGACGGTTACACATGTTAACAGAAACCCACAGAGGCACAAGAGAACGGGGGAAAAGGCGAGGCAGCAATAAATAAATGTATAAAGCCCAAAAAATTAAACACGAATAAAACAGGTGGAGCATATCTTGATATCGCAATCACCCCTAGTAAGTAACTTTTGAAACAGCAGGCACCGAAAGATGTCATTTATCGACCTCATGTAACGTTGACTTGCATTTTTAAGGTTTTTAAGGCTCTTAGCTAAACTTTTAAATTCATGATACTAAAGGACGTGAGCCCTTCCAACAATGACCACGGTATTTACCCACAAATAGAATAAACTGAACTACATTTACAATACTTGTATTGCAGGTAATCGGGTAATATAAGCTTATAACGTTTAAATTGAAGTCATCTTCAGTCCTCAGGGAGATTATTTGTATCAAACCAGAACTGTCTGCTGCAAGAGCATGAAAAGAGCAGATGACCCAAGGTTTCCACTTCAGTTGAGCTACGGGGAGCGATTTCAAAGTTCAACCTCCTCTGCAGAGGAGCCTGGACCAGAAACTAGTCCCTTTAGATTTTAGTTTTCTGACTCTACTGAGAAAAATCAGGTCGTCGTTGTCGTCTTTGTGATTCATCTGTGCAAGAAAATGTAAAACCCACTCGTGTCCTCGTTTCCCCTGCTGTGAGCAGAAAACAATATTTGGCTTAAACTACACGAAAAACGAAAAATCCCCTTGTATTGTTTTTCAATTTTGGCACAAAAAAGAGAATTTAAGTCGTTTTTGTTTTGAGAGTAAAATGAAGCGACTTTTCCCTGACTTGGTAAAATCAAACAGAACGTACACAGACCTGTGTAGCTGACGGGCAGTGAATTCTCCTTTTGAAAAGGTTTCTCAGCTGCCATTTAGCAACGGGGAAACAAAGAACGGAAACCAGGTTGTTTTTTGTTTTGATAATAAACCACAGAAAACAAAACAAACGGCCATTATCTGGTTGTTTGATAGGTTCAGAAATGGAAATTGGAACTAAAGGAGCCTGTGTACGTTGGGTTTGAGGTGTGTGTTGGACCGGGGTTCAGCTAAACCTCTCTCTCAGGGGCATTTGAGCACAGCGTTCAGTGTTTCCACCGGTAACGTTTTCTCATGCCAAAATCTTGGTCGCCACAAATCAACCGATCAGTCATTTAATCGAGCGCCTCAGATTCGCCCAGGGAGCTCAAAAAACAACACAGTCCCACGCACAGGTAAGGCCAGTTCAGCCGAGTGATTCACGCAGCAGACAGAACTCCACTCTATCAAATGTGTATCCGACATGCATGCACATTGTTGTTTTCCTTCACATGTCTGCAGTCGGTTGGCCGTTCCATTGCAACTTTATTTGTAAAGCACTAAAAACAGCCAAGGTGGGCCAAAGTGCTGTACAGTGTAAATAACAATATACATTAAAAATAAACACAAGTACATAAAATCAACACCAATATAAAATATCAAAATGCCAACGACTTAAAAACAGGCAAAGAAGAGGCTTGTCTGATGGGCAGAGGTAAATCATTCCATAGCTTGGGGACAGCAGTCGCAAAGGCACAATCATCTCTAAGCTTGCGTTTTGTTCAGGGCACACTCAAAAGAAACTGATTAGCTGACCTCAAAGAACGCGTAGGTGTATGCCAGTGAAGCAAGTCAGATAAATAGGAAGGTGCAAAGCCATGAAGGGATTTAAAAAACTAATAAAATTTTATAGTGGATCCTAAAATAAACAGGTAACCAGTGCAAGGAAGCCAAGACTGGAGAAATGTGCTCATATTTACTTATACCTGTTAAAAGATGTGCACGTCTGGCTCAGTCAGGCTGTGATTATTGCTGAGTGAAGCACCAGAGGCCAGTGAACTGTTGAGGACTTACTTTAGTAACTGCAAAAAAATAAATAAAAAGACAGAGGGAACATGGATTAGGGATGGAAGATGGAGCTCAGGGAGGGACAGATGAGGAGAGAGGGAGGAGGAAAACGGTTCAGCTGAACTGACACAGAAAGATGCTCCACCACCAACAAGCCTGGATTACAACTGTCACAATGCGCCTCACATCAGCAATTTGTGCTGTTGTTAGTGTCCTTTATAAACCGGTTTTGGTCCTCAAGGTCTCTCTCCTCATGTTCGTCTTCAGGTGACCCCCTTCGGTTCCACGCTCACTTCATCGCCGTCTGCCTGTCTCTGGACCAGTCCGTCTGTCTTCTGGACATCCTCGCCATGGCTCGTCTGGGATCCGGTGTGAAGAAGACCGTCCTGCTATGCTCCCCGGGGACGGACGGAGGGGTGGTTTACACCTCGTTACAGTGGAGCGGGATGGTGTGAACAGCTGATTAGATGACAGCATCAAACAGGAAGTGAGGTGTTTTTTTTTTGTTGTTGTTTTTTTATTTTGCAACAACTGATATACAAACAAGATAAAGGAGAACATAAGGATATACAAGAATAGGGAATCGAATACAAATCAACAGCAAGCACAAATGGGGAAGAGAAGTTAACCTCTGCAGTAATCAATTATAAGTGTATTTGTGTATATTAAGAAATAAAAATAAAGAACAAGCACAGATGAGTAGCATTCAAGGCATTAGAAGAGACTTGGAAATAGACGTCCTTAGTTTCTTGGCTGTTTTGTTCAATTTAACCATATATTTCAACGACTTAAAGTAATTGGCAAAATAATTTGGAAGTGAGGTGTTTGTTGTAAACAGGTGGAGTTTGTCCTTTGTTCCTGCTCGTTGGTAGCATTCGGGGCCAGGCCTGGGTCTGACCCAG